CCCGTACGAACAACAAACGAACATTTTATGTAAATAATTAAGGGAAAGACAAAAGGGGAATAATTGTAACGGCCGGCGGGAAGGTAAGGAATGAATGAGAGTGTGAATGAGAGAGAACAGTAAAATAGAAGTGGGAATAACGACGGGAAAATATCCAGCAGAAAGTACAATAGTTAGCAACGGAATAAAGAAGAATTAATCCATTAGAGGCAGCGGGGAGGGAATTACCGGATGGATACCGTGGAGTGCCCAGGAGTCATCTGCCGAATACGTGCCCGGCAAGGTCCTCCGCCCTAGAAAGGGCCAAGCTTGCCAGAGGCTAGGGAAACTGCAGACCAGGCAAGGATCTGTGGGGGAGGAGACGCGCAGTTAAGTCGGAGTGATGACCCGCACCCCTGAATGTCGTGGGGATGGACCACCGAAGATGGGAGGCCTCGTCGCGGTAAGAAACCCACCGCCGCGGGGGTACCCGGCAAAGAAAAGTACCTGGTGGAAAATCTCCCGGGGGTAAAACGCGCCGACATTTCCCCGCTCCTGGGCGACTCGAGGGGAGAAGAGGACAGGAGGGAAGAAGGAGGGGAGTGATAAGTGAAACGTCGAGCAGAGAGTCGACGGTGAGCAGCAGTAGCGCGCGGACGGCCCACGAGAGGCGACCCGCCAGGCCTCTCGACCCGCGCAGTCGGCCCCGGGGCGATGATTCCTTGCTCGAGAGCGTCCCCTAAGGGACCCCGAGGCGAGGAGGATGTCCAGGAGATACCCTCGAGGCTCCAGCCCGGGTGGCGACCCTGGGTAATACCGATATCCGAGGGCGACCCCTTTCCGCCCCGAGAGTCATGAAGTGACATCGGGAGGCAGAAGTGCGGATTGCCCCAGATAGTTCCCGTCCCGATGCCGCCCCCCGCAATAAAATAAATAGTACATCATAAACGACAGGTCGGAAGTCACAATAATTAAATGAGTCACAACGAGGAGACGAGTGTGAGAGAGTAGTAAGAGAGAGTAGAGAGATAAGGAGGAGTGTGAGTGTGAGTGTGCTGTCCCGCCTGGCCGAGTGTATAGACACGAATAAGTGCATCATAGGAGTAGTGATAAGTGAAAAGAGATAATGAAAGATATGTTGACGATCACGCGAAGTCGAATAGATCCCCGGACCCCGCCCTCTCTCCAAAACCTACATACTGGGCAGCGCAGGCACGTAGCCCCATCCTAGCACCGCATCCCCCGGAGGAGCAGTTAGCGGATCTGACAAAACGCAGCATAGGGGTAAGTGGGAGCATCAAGGGGCTGGTTAGCGGATCCGGCAAATACCAAAAACGCAGTCTCAAGGGTTTCATCGAGCTGCAGGTTAAAAGCCCGGTCTCGTCCAGGGGTGGCACTGGGTTAACAAAGTCACCTGGCGCCTGACTAGGAATTAATTGTGACGAAGTTAGGGGATGTAGGACTAGGGTGGTACGGGTGTGGACAGGGATCGCCAAGGAAAGAGTCCAACCCGAGAAAAGCGTTACAAATGGCGCCCGACGTGGGGCCCGCCGTTAAACACGCGTGAGAAGGGCAATTGGCGCAGAAATTAGGCAGAGAGAATTAAAACAGCAAGGGATTGAAAGGCACAACCACCGGGAAATAACCCCACCAGGGGGGATGGCATGCGAAGTCCGAGGAAAAAGAAGAAAAGAAGAGGAATAGTCAAAATAAAATAATAAGAGAACACAATAAAATTACCGAAGAAAATCGCGATGCAGAAAGTTAAGGAAATCAAGTAATAAGTCGAAAAATAAAAGGGAGAGTAATAAAGGGATTATCATATAATACCGAAATTTAATCCCGGAGAACTGAAGTCGAGAGGTAGACAATGGAATACGAAAGGTAAGAGAGTAAACAAACGAAAAAAAAACACAATTAGTTAGGAACGAATAAACCAATGAAAACACCGATCGCACGGCGCAACAAGATAATTCGGGGAATTAACGACAAAAGTAAATACCGCGACGGTCAGACCAAACAACAGATTCTATTGAGAGCAAAGAAACACCACAAATATCGTCATAAATATCGAACGCGAATTCCAGAAGATTAACGGCAAAAATTAAAATTACCGAAGAAAATCGCGACGCTAACATTCCGCGGGACAATGGGGCCAGTGAAATAATCCCCAATAAATAGGAATAAAGTCACCACGAGGAACAATAGAGGCGAAACGATTATCGCAAGATAAACATCGGAATTAAATATCGAAGACAAATTGGAGATGGAGAAATAATCCGACGTGTTTACATCGAGAGTCGCTCGTGTTTACACGATGGGTGGCCCGATGAAAATATTGAGCATGGGGAACAATAACGACGAGGTCAAATTCCCCAGAACTCGAGCGGTCGAGTTGCCCTTTTGTTTACACTAGAGGCGACCGCGCGAGAAAAATAAGGCGAGAAAATAAATCTCAGAGGGAAATTTTGAACTCCTTCGAGGAAGGAGTGGGGGAGCAGGACAAACGAAGTCCTGTGTCCCGCTAGACGCGTGGCAATGAGTTCATCAGTCGTTACCCGAATTTCGAGACGAGTGAACGAGCAAAGACAAACCATCCCGCGTCAACACTGGTACACCACCGTGCCAACACTGAGAGTTCAGATCATACATCTACCTGCATACAGTCATCGAGCACGGATCCACCTGCAGTAATTACCGGTGTGTACCGCCTAGAATTAAGAGTGATTCACTAGTGGGGAACCCGGGGGGAAAACCCAGAGGAAATACAGGCCACACATAGGAACCACAACGAACCCGGGAGGCCGGGGCGTCACCAGAGAAGCGGCGAGTAGCATCAGAGCCCCGAGGAGGATAGACCTGCTAAAAAGTTGAGTCAACCCCTCGGACAGGGGGATCGTTACGGGGAGCCGTAGTGAGCCAGTTGGAAGGTTAGCCGCACGGTGATATCGAAAAACCACCCAGGGGAGTGCAGGGTCGACCGGCGTTGGCCAGAGTCAGCCCTCAGGAAAACACCAGGGGAATCACCACCTGGGGCAGTTGGCCCAAATCGCGTAGTCAGCCCCCCGGAAGTGAGAGAGGTATCGAGAGATCGACGAACCACCTGTGGAGGAAGAGACCTGAGTTAGCCAAGGGACCCACAGAACAAGGGATCTTCTCCCTTGGGGCTAACAGAGCGGGTCAACAGGCTTCGCGGTCGATCACCATAAATCCGTACGCTACCGCGGCTCGCTCCCGACTCTCGACTCTCGACTCTCTACTCCCGACTCTCTACTCACTCCTGCCGCTTCTCCTTCTTCCCATGTCCTCACCTCCTCGAGTCACCCAGAAGCCGAGAAATGGTGGCACGGTTTGCCGCCAGGAGATTTTCCACCTGATACTTTTGTTTCTCCGGGCACCCCCGCGGTGGTAGGTTTCTTACCGCGATGAGGCCTCTCAACTTCAGTGGTCCGTCTCCACGACAACCGAAGGTGCGGTTCATTACTCTGACTTAACCGGGCTTCTCATCCTCCACAGATCCTTGCCTGGTCTGCCGTTTCTCTAGCCTCGGCAAGCTGGGCCGTTCCTAAGGTAGAAAATCGTTGCAGGGCACGTATTCAGCGGATAACTTCTGGGTAGTCCTCGGTATTCTCCGGTACTGCTTTCCTTCGGCCTGTCATGGATTTTACTGTCCTATTACCGATTGTTTTTCTATTACTCTTTATGCTTGTGTTCTCGGGTCTCTCTAAACCCCTTGACTGGGGTGCGGAGAGCGCGGTTGAGCCACCAACCGAGCGCGTCTCCGGGTGGTGGATAGGAGGACGGCCGGGCGGAATAACCACCTCGGCGGAGGCCGGGACAGAAATGTCTCGAACTCTACGTGGGGTTGGCTAAAAACCAGTTTAATGTGGAACATAAGGCCGAACGAAACGTGGGAAACCACAAGGGAAGCCGAAAAACCCATCGCGAACCAGCTCCTCCAAGCTACGGTGTATGATACCGTGCCAATGGCTGCATGGTGCAGGAGAAGTTGCATCTCAAACGGTTCCCTCGGATACCAGGCGACTTCCGAGCGTAAGTAGCCAAGCCCCAGGCATACACGGCTCTGCCTGGGTGATACCGCACTACCGTGGTACTCGTGGGACTTATATGGAGACCAGAATACAAAAAGAAACACAAAAACCACCTGGGACGGAAGAACCCCAGGGCCAGAATGCTGCACCTGGTGGAGAACAACCCAGGGGGAAAAGACTAAGTGGCGCGGCAAGGCGCCGGTTCCAGAAGGAGAGAAGGGCTAACCCAGCCTCAAGCACTCCTTCTGGGACAAACAAGGGTGAGGGTGGGGGCGAGGGAGTGTCAAGGGGAGCAGCCGTGAAACGGCTGAAACCCGATGGCACCCCAAGCCCCCACAACAACACGCGACCTGAGAAAAGGCCCAAGACTGATCTTGGCAGCTACGCTCAGGTCGCAAAGAAAATGATCAGGTGGGCTCTCGTCCCAGAGAACTACCCAGATCGAAAAATCACACCCGAAGAAGTCAAGGGCCTGAAGGGACTGCTTAGGTCCCAGATCCTCTCCTTGCCAGAGGGGACTAAGGCACCGACTTTCGAGGGGGTGTGGGAAAGGGACGGGGCAGCCATTGTCGGCTGCACCGACGAAGAAACGGGGAACTGTCTGAAAGGACTGTTCCCCGAAAACAAAATCGGGGACCTCGTCCTCGCGGTGATGCCTCCGGAGGAGCTACCCAAGCGACACCGGGTGGTAGTTCACCTTGGGGACGAGGATGTCACCGCCCAGGAGACAATCGAGCTCATGGGACGGCAGAACCCCGACCTTAAAGGTGACTGGGTCCTGATTAGAGGCAGCGAAACAAGGGGAGCCACAGGCGCCCACTTTGCTGGCCTGATCTAGGATCAAACCCTGCGGGCCCTAGAGGCTTGCAATTTTAAACCTCACTGCGGGACTCAAAGAGCAACTATCAAGTTGCTCGAAAAGAACCGACATGAGGAAAAGGACAAGCCTATTGACGGGTGAACCTAGAAATGGCTCATAAGTCGGTAGAGATAGTCCAGATTAATCTGCATCACAGTAAAAGCGCCTCAGCAGTTCTCTGCAAGACGCTAGCTGGGGTGCAGACAGCCATAGCCCTAATTCAAGAACCATGGTTCGTGAACGGGGTGGTAAAGGGCCTCGGGGGGTGTGGAAAAATTTTTCACTCGAACACCCAAGGAAAGAAGATTAGGACCTGTGTGTTAGTAAAAGGCGCACAAGCGACTTTCTTACACCAACAAAGCGGAGAGGACCTCACGGCTGTGAAGCTCAAGGTCCTCACCGGGAAGAACGAGGCCCTGGAATTCATAGCGGGATCAGCATACCTGCCATATGATTCCATGGAACCTCCCCCAACAAGGGAGGTCGAAGATCTCGTCAAAAAAGTGAAGGACGAAAGGCTGGAACTTCTGCTTGGGTGCGATGCGAACTCACACCATCTGGGGTGGGGTAGCTCAAATACCAATGCTAGAGGAGAAGCCCTAAATGACTTCATTATGGAAAAAGACCTCCAAATCCTGAACAGAGGGAAAGAACCAACCTTTATGGACTGCAGAAGACATGAAGTGTTGGACATAACCATCTGCACGGCAGGCATGGCACGTTGGGTAAAAGACTGGAGGGGGTCGAAAGAACCTTCGGGCTCAGACCACAGCCAAATACGCCTGTCATTAACGTGCGAATCGGAACAGATCCCTAGGAGAAACCCAAAGGACACAAACTGGGGAAGTTACAGAGAAGAACTCTTCGTGAGGATCCAAGATCTACCCTCAAGATTCAGAAACAAGAGAGACCTGGAACATGCAGCCAAACGTCTCGGAGAAGTGATCCTATGAAAACAACTGCAACATTAAAAGACCGCGGAATACAAAAATGGTGGGCTGGTGGAATAACCAACTGTCCATTTTAAGATGCCAGCTAAGGAAAGCGTGGAACAAGGTGAAGACCGCGTACACGGAAAACAGCAGGCAGAAGGCCCTCGAAGATCGCAGAGGTGTTCAGAGGAAATACAATAAGGCACTCGTAATAGCCAAAAACGAGGGCTGGAAGAAATTTAGCAGTGGGGTGGAGAGCCAATCTGAAGCCTCAAGGCTGGTAAAGATCCTGGGAGAACAGGGCGCCTCTAATCTGGGCTGTCTCATCAAACCGGATGGAAGCTCTACCTGGACCACAGAAGAAACTCTCCAACTGCTGCTAGAAGAGCACTTCCCGGGGTTCACGAACTCGGGGGATATGGAACAAGGAACAGAAACCTGTAAAGGCACCTACAAGCCGCAGGAATGGGCCTTGGCAGCTAAGATAGTCCACCCGCAAGGGGTAGAGTGGGCCGTCAATACCTTTGAACCCCTAGAAGCACCGGGACCAGATGGAGTCTATCCAATCCTCTTGCAGAGAGGGATCGAAATCATTCTGGGACCCTTAACAAAAATACTTAGGGCAAGCATAGCACTAAGGACTGTACCAAAAATTTGGGGGAGATCAAGGATTGCCTTCATCTCCAAACCTGGAAAGAACGGGCATATCAAGCCCAGGGACTTCAGACCCATCAGCCTCACCTCCTTCATATTGAAGACACTGGAAAGACGGGTGGACCAATACATAAAGAGCACACTGCTTCTTGAGAAACCCCTATCACCCTCACAATATGCCTACAGGGCAGGCAGCCGACGGAAACGGCCCTGCATCGCCTAGTGGCTAAGATTGAGGAACAGATAGAGGGAAAGGGCTACGCACTCAGCCTATTCCTAGACATCGAGGGCGCCTTTGATCGTACTAAATACGAGATCATAACAAGGGCCATGTCGAGGAAAAACTTTCCAGATTGTATCATTGACTGGACGAAAACCATGTTGGAGAGTAGGAAAATAACTGCCACACACAACGGCTCACACGTAGAAGGGCACCCGACCAAGGGTTGTCCACAGGGTGGAGTCCTGTCTCCACTCCTGTGGAGCCTAGTTGTCGATGACCTTTTAGAGAAATTGAGAGAAGAGAACTTTCTGGTGAACGGCTATGCCGACGACATAGCCATTGTAGCCAGGGGAAACTTCCTCGAAACTCTAAGAGACAGACAGATCCGTGCTGTGAGAATACTGGAGGAATGGTGTAAAGAAACGAAACTTACAGTTAATCCTGGAAAGACGTCTGCCATGATCTTCACCAGAAAATATAAAGTGGTCACTCCACGACCAATTAAAATTGGAGGAGTGGACATCGCTTATGCTAGTTCAGTGAAGTACTTGGGAGTAACTCTGGACACCAAGCTTCACTGGAAACAACACATAGCCACACAGATGGGCAAAACATATGCCTCACTCTGGGCTTGCAAAAGAGCCATGGGAAGGACGTGGGGTTTCAACCCCAAAATCAGCCTATGGCTATACAAGATGGTATTACTGCCAAGGCTCATGTACGCTGCTGTGATATGGTGGCCCAGGGTAAGGAAGGTTGGGACTAAGAACCAGTTAAAAGCACTCCAGGGAAATTTCCTCAGGGCTGCAACTGGGGCGATGAAAACCACACCGACCGAAGCCTTGGAAGTGGCAATGAACACACCACCACTTGATCTAGCGGTGCTATACAAGGCAGAGGCAACCGCCTACAGGCTGATATGCCAGGGGGAATGGAATCAGTCGAGCGCGGCACATGTCAAGCTCGATATACTGAAAAGAAGCCCCCTGAACACAGATCAGGATAGAACAACCAGAAGGTACCTGATCAGGAAAGGTTTCAAGACCTATATACCCGACAGAAAGGACTGGAAAATGGCAAAACAATCCCCAGGTAGCAATGTAATACACTGATACACGGATGCCTCGGGCCGCGGACACCAATACGGTGCAGGGATATATGGGCCAAAAGAAAACCACAGAGACAGCTGGTCCATTGGACCCCTGGCCACTGTTTTTCAGGCAGAAATCATTGCAATTAAAAACTGCATAGGGCTTCTCCTATCAAAACCGACCTCAAGAAAACATATATACGTCTGGTCGGACAGCAAAGCTGCCATCAAAGCCCTAAAGAGACCAAGCACCGAATCGAAGCTGGTCTGGGAGACGATGGCAGCTATACAAGCACTAGGGGCAACCAATAAAATAACTTTGGCATGGGTCCCGAGCCACAAAGGGATAACAGAAAACGAGATAGCGGACCAACTGGCAAGGCATGGGGCGTCAAATGATGACCAGGCCATGACAGTGGGAGTCCCTTTCGCGACCGGAATATCTCGAATTAAAAATAAACTTCGGAACGAACACCAAGGGCGATGGGAACAGATCACAACCTGCAGAAAATCCACAGCCCTCATGCCAACCCTAAACAAGAAAAGGGCAGGAAAACTACTCAACATGAAAAAAGAGGAACTGAGCACAATCAGGCTCCTCACTGGACATGGTAGGTTTAGGACACACTGCAAAAACATGGGCATCGAAAGCGATACCCGCTGCAGACTATGCCTTGAGGCAGACGAGGACAGCCTGCATATACTTTGTAGCTGCCCTGCACTGGCTACAACAAGGCTAAATTACTGGGGAACCGCCTTCCCTAGTATCAGCTATGTAGCGGATCTAGACGCCGGGAATCTACTAAAACTGGTGAGAAAAGCTGGCCTAGAATTATAGGGATCAGAAGGACAACGGAGCCACAATAGCCCAGTAGGGGTTCGGTGACAAGAGGGCAGCAAATGCCTATCCGTATTTTTTTAACCATAACCATATGCTTGTGTTTTGGTTGTTCTCTTACCATATCCCTGTTCTATTTCATTCTCTCATTCACACTCTCATTCTCTCCTTACCTTCCCACTGGCCTTTACAATTATTTTACATTTTTTTCTTAATTGTATTATTCGCACGGGTGATGAATTTGGGGTTCATCACAAATTCATTATCGGAAATTAAAGCAAAAGCAAAAAATTAAAGCAAATGCCTGAGCCTTGGTATGCGATTAACGAAGATCCATCGAATATTAATTCAACCAAGCACCACGTCTCAAGCCCTACATCGACTTAAATACAGAGATGCAAACAAAATCGACAAATGAATTTGAAAAGAATTTTTTCAAGTTAATAACCAATGCGGTGTTTGGGAAAATGATGGAAAATGTGAGAAAGCACAGAGATATCAACTTGATCAGTGAGATGTAAGATATGGCGCAAAAACTTATATAGCCCAACCAAATTTCCACAGCGGTCTAATTTTCGTTGATAATATGATGATCATCCAGTTGAAACGAGTTCAAATTCGGTTCAATAAACCAATATACATTGGATTTGCCATCGCGGTCTTCTCAAAAATTTACATCTACCATTTCCACTATAATTCCACTATAAAATGTGAGTTTCGAGTGCGATCTAAATTAATGTACAGAGACATCGACAGTTTTTTATATCAGTTCAATGTTCCCGACATTTATGACTTTGTAGGGCACTTTTTTATTATTTGTTATTAAATGATGATTTAATAAAACCAGATTACAATTTATTGTCTGGATCATAAGAATATATATATTTCACTCCATTTTAATACAAAATGGGCTGAGTGATGTGGCTCACTCAAATCAACGTGAATGACTGACTCGATACATTATTTTGCTTATTATATATTGTTCGGCGTTTATCCGATCGATAAACTTACGGGAGAATGATGCCTAAACGGTATCACCCAAAGTTTAATTTTAGAATATATATTACAACTTTATCAAACGAGATATTGCGAAATTTGACACTTCCGACTACCCAGTAGAGAATGTTTATCAAATATCAAGAATAAATACAAAAGTGATAGGTTTAATGAAGGATGAATGTAATGGTAAAATTATGACTGATTTTGTGGGCCTGCCTGCCAAGCTTTATACTTTTATGGTATTGGGTGATGTGAGAGAAAAAAAACGAGCGAAGGGTGTGAAAGGCGCAGAAGAAACTAGTGACATCTCAGTATTTGATTCAAAGTCCAAAACATCAAGTTCACACGGTGAAACCGAACAAGTTAGCACGGAGCTATGATGATGATAAGAGAATAATTTTGCTTGATTCAACAGATACTCAACCTCATGGTTGCACTGAATAAAAGACACAAATTTTTCCAAATAATGTTTTTCTGTATTTTTATTATAAAATTACATTTGATTAGAGTATATCCAACTGTTGTGAGCAACATCAAATGCCAGCCAATTTACGTATTCTTTATTCCCTCTCCTCTTCAGCAGTTCTCAACGAGAAACACACCTGCATACGTGACGTGCCTCAACTCCTCTTGGTAGAAGCCACCTTCGATTGCATCATCTTCTCCATCAGCACGCTTATATGTTACAGGATTGGTACTTTGCACTTTTTTAATTGTAAATACTTCGGTTGTCCAGTTGGGGGTATATCCTTTTTCGAAGTACAGTTTTGTACTTGCTGATTCGCACTTTAGCACCTCCTTGATCTTTATGTTCCCCTTTTTTTCCTCACGTACGTTTCCATAAATTGATTTCAACAAAGATATTTCATTCTTGGATGTAATATCTTTAGGCTTCATCTTTATTGCACGATGTTACGTGGTATTATATTCTGCAACCTAATCACCAACAGTATCAATCCATTTGTAGGTTCCACGAATTGAGAATTGTTTCCACAGTTTATTTTTCAATGTTCTATATCGCATAGTAGTTCGCATATCGTTGCCTTGATGTTGCTGAAGGTCGAGAACATGTGTATGTTCCACTTTTCCTTGAGAGCTTGGAAGTTTTTATTGTAAAACTCTTTGTCTTGATCAACATGGAGTTTTTTTTTTGAATACGTCCCTCTTGCGAGATGAGGTGCATCGCATCCACAACGTCATTGGCACTTTTCGATTTA